ACCTCTTTTTCAGACTTTGAATTAATTGTCTTTATGACACGAATATGTCTTAAACATTAGATTGGTGAAGTTCATAATGCAATCAATTTTTAGGTATTATAGCACTAGCACCCATTGAAAATTATTTCACGACCTTGAATAGTTTTTCCCTTCTGAAAAAAAACCATATATTTCATATTTAAATCTTAATGTTTTCATTCGATCATTCTAATATAAACCAATTCTATTTCTCAAGCCGAGGTACCAACACTGCTAGTCTAGGCCAATATTACCATGCTTACTCCCACCAATCTAGGGATAACAAAATATCTTGCTTCCAACCCGATTCCTTGGTTAGTCGAGAATCGAGAGACGTATACAGAAAATGGTTATTGTTTTCATTATAATTTTTTTTTTTTTACGTTTTTATGTTTTTAAATTTAAACATATTATATAAATTAATGAAAAACGAGGTGAGAAATGAAGATAGTTTACTTCTCTATCAATTATAGGAGTAGAGTAGAGTTGAGTTTTTGTAAGACTATCCATTTGGAAATCTAAACCATGTTGCATTCTGCACAAATCCTTTTATACTCTGTATTTTGGGAAATCAATAAAAAGTAAAATGGAAAAATGAAAAATGAAAAATGAATAATATTATCTAATACCAGTAATATTAAATATCGGTTTAGGTGTCGATATATCATAGGTTTTATTAAATGGGCATAATTTCGTATATTTAATTGAATATGTAATTCAATGTCAATAGTACTATCACTTATACTCCTGTTAAATACCAATGCTAAGCCCTTGTTTGATCCTCATTATTTTTAAAATACACTTTTCTATCTCTTCTTTTCAAACACACATTTTTCAATAAAATAAAATTACACTCAAATTCAAAATATTTTCTTATTTTTCAACTACACATTCTCCATCAATCTACTATTTTAAAATACATTTTAAAAAAATAAAATTGGGCTCAAATAAGCTCTAAATAACATTAGTCAAGGAAAAAACTAGAAAAAATTGTTAGGCCGCTTAACCCAAACACAAATCACAGAGTAAACCTTTTTGCGTGAACAAATTCGACAGTGTCGGGCAATGGGTTGAAAAGAGTGACTCGAAAAGGAGAATTTGAATAGTGAAAATCACCTAATTCACTACTTTTGGAGATC